CCCCCCTGGTGCTGCCACAGGCTGGGAGGCCGCAGAGCGCCCGCATTCCGCGTCCCCGCTCTGTAGGTTTGGAAAGGTCATTTCCAGTTTCCCAGCATGGCTCTGAGTGCAGACCTGGTGTCCTGGCCCACGGAGGCCGGCGGCTGGGGTGGGGGCAGGGCTGAGGCTGGGCCTGGGCTGGAGCTGCTGCCTCTTAGGGTGGCCAGGGGCTCCAGGAGTGTGGGATCTTCCTTTCCCCGCCTGGTTTGCGTTCTGGGAGGCCTTGCCAGCTGGGGTCCAGTGGCTTCGGGGCCCCCCAGCCTGCCTAGGCCAGGGCCCTCTGCCTGCCCCCTGTGCAGCTGGAGTGGTGTTGGGGGTGTGTCTTTTCTTCTTCTCTTCTGCAGAGTGAGTTCTCAGCCCGAGGATATGAAGGTGGTCCCGCCCCGTCTCCCTGTGTCCCGGGAACTGAGAGTGCAGGGACTGTGTTAAAAGGCAGGCAGGGCCGTGAGGATGAAAGGCCGGGGACAGGCGGGGACAGGCCGGGGGAACTCGCCACTCTCAGATGTGGGTTTCTTTTCATCCATTCACCCCCTTGGTGCTTTTTCTGGTGCTTTTCTCCCTTTCTGGAGTGCAGCCCCGTCCTGACCCGCCAAGCCTGCCTCTTGCCTTCTGGAACCACCCCCAGCATGGCTTTGCGGGGCCTGCTACCGGCCCCTCCCCACAGCTGCAGGGAAACAGCTCCCGCGCAGGCAGGCCGGGTCTGGGATTAATGAAGCCCAGATGCAGGGCTTCTGACTCGCTGAGAGTTCGCGGGAGCAACAGCGGAGGGGCCGTTTACCTCCCACTGTGCTTTGGGCCCAGCTGCTTCAGGGGCTTCCAGGGAACAGCTGGAAAGTAGTTCCTGGCTGACAACCAGGAGGAGGCCATGGAGGCCATGGGGTGTGGTGGGGAGAACTGAAGGGTGGGGCTCTGCGTGAGAGCCGGGGCCTGGCCTGCACCCACAGGGATCTGGAGCGGCCGTAGATGGGGACACAGCGGTAGGGGGTGTCTGCTAGCCAGGGCTCAGTCCAGGTGCGGGCTGTCTCCTTCCTCTGGTGCAGGGCGCTGAGAAGGTCAAGTGGGTGCACTGCAGAGCGGTCAGCACTCAAGGGAATGGGTGAGGGAGAGTCCGTGTGTAATGGCAGGGCTTCCTGGGCAAGGAGGTTGGAATGCTTGGCTCCTCCCAGGGTTGCCAGATGTAGTACAAATATCACAGGAGATGAACCTATGCTTAAAAAAAAGTATTTTTTGTTTACTTGTCAAATGTACTGAGCTTCCTGTATTCTGATTTGTTAAATCTGGCTCGCCTATCTTTCCCTCCATCTGATTCCTCCTTCCTTTCTTTTTCTTCCTATCTTTTTAAAAAATAATTATTTTATTTTACTTTATTTATTTATTTATTTAATTTTAATTTGACCAGAGAGGGACAGAGAGAGAGAGAGAGAAAGTGAGAAAGCGACCTGCCAGATTTGGGACTTGAATCGAAGTTTGCCATGTGAGAGTCCAGCGTGCTTAACCACCATGCCACCTGCTGGTCCCTCCTTTCTCTTTTCTTCTTTTAATTTTTAGAGAGATTTTTGCTATAAGGTACGTGCACTCTCCAGAGAGGCAGAGAGACAGAAATTGAGAAATCATTCCCGAAGAGGGGGTGGCCACGTGGCAATCCCTTCACCTCCATTCTCGGGATTTGGGGCATGCATGCACACAGCACCCAGCATGAGTTCTAAGCCACTGGGTCCAGGACTTGAACTGTTGTTGACTACATGGGAGTCCAGCAATGTCACTGTTACACCATCTGCTGGTCCCCTGAATTTCTTTATTATTATTTTTTTTTTTGAGAGGTTTTTGCTATAGGGAATGTGCACTTGCCAGAAAGACAGAGAGAGACAGAGAGAGACAGAAAGTGAGAAATCACCCCCCAGGGGGGATGGCCACACTGCAATCCCTTTTCCTCCATTCTCCTCTCGGGATCTTGGGCACACACGCACACGCACCCGGTGTGAGTTTTAAGCCACTGGGTCTGGGATGCGAACCGCGGTCGACTATGGGGGAGCCCAGCGCTAACTGCTGGTCCCGGTCCCCTGAATTTCTTGGGTCAAAGTTTGATTAAACTACAATATCCAATCAGAGCAGAGCACGGGCCATGAAGTACAGCCCAGTGGATTTCCAGAGGCTACCAGCACCCAGATCAGGAAATAAAACACGAGCAGGACCTGCCTTCACTCCAGGGTCAGTAGCATCCTGACTTGCGAACGTTTCATTTGGCACACGAAGCCGTACACACGTGCATCTGGACCTGGCTTCTTTCCCACACATGAAGGATTGCTGAGTGTGCCGAAGGTGGCTGGACTGTGACAGGGCAGTGTGGAGGGGTGAGGCCTTAGTGGCTCAGGTGGGAAGTCCCCATCCTACCGCCCTGCCACACGGAGCCTTCAACCCTTCTCATCGCCTGCTGCAGCCCAGCTCTGGCCTGCGGTCTCCACTTCCCTGCTCTCTTTTTTAACTTCACCCTAGATCTCAAGGATCCATGAAAATCAGAGGCCCGGATGTTAGTATCTAAAAACCTGTGCCCAGCCTGGGCTGTGGGGAATTCTCCAAAGGAAATTCCCTGGGTGCAGGGTGACCTCACCTGGCCAGGTCACCCACCCTCCTGCACCCCTGCCTAGGAGTCATTTTTTTTAAAGAATTATTCATTCATTCATTCATTCATGTATTTCTTTTTTTTTTTTTTAAGAATTATTTATTTATTTATTCATTTATTCATTCATTCATGTATTTTAATTTGACCAGAGAAAGACACACAGAGAGAGAGAGAGAGAGGGAAAGTGAGAAAGCAAGCCACCGCGTCTGGGACTTAAACTGTGATCAGCCATGTGGGAGTGTCCAGCGCCTTAACCACCATGCCACCTGCTGATCCCCCTACCTGGGAGTCTTAAGCTGCAAAGGAAAACAAGGCAAAGGCCTATTGGAAAATGGTTCAGAGGCCGGCAGGTGGCATGGTGGTTGGGGCGCTGGACTCCCACATGGCTGACTACATTTTGAGTCCTGGATCTGGCAGCTCACTTTCTCACTTTCTCTGTCTCTCTCTGGTGAGCGTGCATGCCCTGTAGCAAATTAAGAAATAATAAATTAATAATTTTTTAAATGTGGTTCAGCTTCTTGTCTCTGTATCTATAAGTTTGTATAATTGAGAGAGAAAAAACAAGGAGGAGAATACTCCCACACTGGCCTCTGAAGTTCCCAGGGACTTCAGTTCTGTGTGTTGTAGAGACGGTCTCCCTGTGCTGTCCAGGCTGTCCTGGAACTTTCGACCCTCCTGACTCAGCCTCCCAAGTACAGGGCCACCGCACCGGCTCCCTGCGTTTATTGTTAAATTTTCCAGTCATGCATTTCTTTTCCTAAAATTAATGATAATGCTAGAAACCATAGGAGAAAGCCTTTTGCTAGTGTACCCCAGACGGAAGTTGGCTCCCTGGCCCCATTCCCCTCTCTGTGGGGTCCTGGCCCCTGCTGGGCTCCGCCTTACTTCAAGCCCACCCTCCCTCCCAGGTTGCCTCTTAGACACTCTCCTCTTTCTCTCCCAGGCAGCTTCGAAGCCAGCTGAGCCTCGAGGTCATTGCCCGAATGCTGGGCCAGCAAGAGTCGCTTCCTCCCTGGCAAGAGAATACCCAGGTGAGTCGTCTGCCTCCGCGGGGCGGGCAGGCCTGTGCTGGGCCAGCCGCTCTGCCCACGGCCTGTCACTCCTCGGCTTTTCCCGGAGATGAGGAGCCTCAGGCTCAGAGCTAGGCTGAGTCGGGACTCTCACAGTCTTTCATGCAACAGTTTGCAAGCCTGCCATGTGCCAGGCTCTGAAGACAGAGCAGGGGGACCTGGTGGCCTACATATATGTGTATATATATGTAAATAAGTGCAGTAAAATGTGCATGACATTATTTTCTTTCCACCTTAAGCATTTTCACACATGGATTTCTAACCATTTTTAAGTGTACAAAGCAGGGGCCCTGAATACATTCATGTTACTGTGCAGCCACCCCACTCCATCTCCAGAACCGTTCATCTTCCCAGACTAAACCTCCATACCCGTCAGGTCTGGACTCCCACTGCCCCTCCCCAGCCCCTGGTTATTGTCCTTTTTTATAGGGGAAAAATAATAAAGATGAAAACAAAGACTATTAAACTTAAACCACACCCTCCCAGTCTCCTTTTGGTTGCAGTGTTAGACGTCCTCAAGGCCTCAAGGATGGAGACTAGGGTTCTGTCTTCCCACCGCATTTCTCTCCTCTCCATAAAGCTCTGACTGTACCTGACCAGAAGTTAGTGTAATGGCTATGTCGCTGGACTCCCATGTAGTCGACTGCGGTTCGAGTCTTGGACCCGGTGGCTTAAACTCACACCAGGTGCATGTGCGTTCGTGCCCAAGACTCCGAGAGGAGAATGGAGGAGAAGGGATTCCGGCATGGCCATCCCCTCTGGGGGTGATTTCTTGCTTTCTGTCTCTGTCTGGCAAGCGCGTGTGCAGCTCTGCGGAGGTCCCTTCAGGGGCCCTATGGGAAGTCTGGGTCGTGACAGTCGAAGGATGGAGAGCAGGAGGGCAGGAGGTTGAGAGCGCGCTCACTTCCCCGGGAAGCTCCCTGCCTCGAAGAGTTGTTGAGTACTGAGTACGGCTGAGTCCAGAGGGAGCAGGCACTTGGGGAGAAGGCCATGCGTCTCTAGTCACTGGCACGTACAAGGCCGGCCTGAGCAGCCTCGCCCAGAGTGCTGGGAGAATGTTCTGGTACATCTTTGGGCAAGGCTGGCCATATGGCTGATCCGAGATCCCGTGACTGCAAGGAGGGGCTCAGGGAGGAGACCAGCCAGGTTGGGCTTTGGAGTGGCCTTGGCCCAGCATTAGCCTCAGTTGCCCCCTTCGCCGCGAAGGCTTTCTTCTTAGGACATCGTGGCTAGAACGTCCTGTCAAACAAGTGGCTTCTGCCCAGCGCTCCCCCGCCGTGCCTAGCACATGCCCAGTACCCGCCAGAAGGCAGTGCGTGCATGTGGAGGGCACAGAACAGACACTACAGGACGGCGGGGTGCAGGCCGAGACCTCGGGAGGGTATGGGTGAGGAGGGACCTGCACTGGGGTCACTTCACAGCGGTCTCTATGAAGAAGGCAGGACAGAGGGTTCAGATGGCGTCCGAGGGCCGCCCAGCAGTCAGGGGCAGGGACAGCAGAGATGCAGCAAGAGGGGCCAAGACACAGGGGTCCCTGCAGGACTCCAGAAGGCAGCCTGGTGGAAAGGCAGCAGTGTTGGCCAGAGGACGCCCCCTAAGCCCTGAAGGTCACAGAGCAGAGACAGACAGGAGGACAGGAGGCTGACTGGGGCGGGGGCAGCTGGCTCCAGAGCGGAGGAGGAGGAGGAGGCAGGAAGAGCGCCGAAAACCCAGCTGCTCTGCATGACCAGAAAGATAGGGCTGCTCAGTGTGGGGCTGGTTCAGGGCTTGGGGTTTTGCCTTGAGCTGTCTTGCCAGAGGCGGTGCAGGGAGCGTGAGGAGAGCATGGTGGGGCTGCGCTCCTGGTGGAGGCCGGGAGTGTCTTTGGGGAAGAGCTGGGTTAGAGGGGGCAGAGGGGAGCTCTGAGGAGGCGAGTGAGAAAGGCACGTCGGGCAGCGCAGGCCCAGGAGGGCTCAGCAGCTCCCCCCGGCTGGCTCCAAGGCTTGTCCATGCCAGCCAGCCCAGCTGCCCGCACCCACCGACATTAGACCCAGCTGGCAGCACCTGTGTGCCAGGCTCTGCACCAGGCACCAGGCGCGGGCAGGCACCAGGGAGACAGTGCCCAGACGACCTCAGGAGAAAAGGGTGAGCAAGTCGGCTGCAGCTGCCGTGACTAACTCTGCCTGAGGACGATGAAGCGGCTTCTAGAGAAGGTGCCCTGAGCCAGGCCCTGGAGGATGCGTCAGGGCCTGCACTGCAGAGGGGAGCCAGTGAGAGTCATGGCGGTGGGAGGCGGGCAGGGCCCCGCGGGAGCCTGCCTGCGGCCTTGCTGGTGCACTCCCCCTCTTCATGGCAAGCCAGGGCTGCTCAGCAGTCTCCTCGCAGGGCTCCAGCTGCAGACACTCCCCTTTCCAGTCTGTCCTGTCCGACCGATGGTCTTCCTAAAACACACCTTCAAAGGGCCACTTCTCCACCCGCCGCCCACTTCAGGCCACACACCCCTCCCCCAACTTCTCCTCCATTCAGCCTGCCCGCTGCTGTCCGTCCTCTCCAGCCCTCCCCAGGCCTGCCCTCTGCACACAGCTTTGGCCATGCTCTGGCCCCTTCTTCCTTTCCACCTGGCACAGCCAACCCAAAGCAGTGGTGCCCTCTGCCACACACGCAGCACTGCTGTGTCCTGGGTGCCGTTGGTGCTCACCCCTCGCAGCAGCGTAATGAGCCATGACGACTCTATTATCCATATCTTACAGATGAGGAAACTGAGGCAGGGAACCTTCCCGAAGGTGCCTGCTGGCCCCTTGAGCTGTAGTTCTGGGTCACGAGTAGGAGGACAAGGGCCTCTTTCCCCTCGTGGATGCACCATTGTTTGCTAAATCGTATCAGTTGAAGTGCTGTGGGGCGTGGGTGCAAGCGTTGGGAGCAGAGGGCCCCACCTGGGAGCAGAGGACCTGGGCTTAGAGCGGGGCAGAGTGGCAGGCAGGAGGAGCCCCAAAAACCCAGCTGTTCGGCTCTGCGTGCCCCTCAAGCTGCAGTCTGAGGCCCAGGAACAGGAGCCAGATGCTGGAGAACTGAGCTCTCAGAAAGGGGCTTCTGTAGACAGCCAATTCTGGCAACATCTCAGAAGCAGCAGCATTTTGGCCTCAGGCACCAGCGTCCTCCAGACACTGCTCTGGGTACTAAAGAGACAAAGGAACAGAGCTCAGCCCTTCCCTTGTGAAGTTCTCAGTCCAGGGGCAGGCGGGCACAAGCACCCAGAAAGAAATAAATATTTGGAGTACCAGTTGCAATAATAATAATAATAATCTAGAAAAAAAAATAATGAAAAGCTACTCGATGATGGTGGGGATTTTAATGTCTCTGTACTGACTGATATGCATGGTATTCCTTCTAGAAAAAGAAATGCAATACACTGTAAAATTACATGTGATTCAATGTAATATAAACAAGAGTATGATAATAACAAATAATAAATAAATAAAATAAATTTTAAAATAATAAATATTTGGAGTACCAGATGATGTAAGTGCTATGAAGAAAAATAAAGTCAGGAAAGGGAAGCAGGCGTGTTGGGAGGGTGCTATTTTATAAAGATGAACAAAGAGAGACATTTGTGCACAGACCTAAGCAGCCAGGTTTCTTTCTTTCTTTTTTTTTTTTTTTTTGGTTTTGGTTTTGTTTTTTGCCATTAAGTACGTGTGCTCTCCGGAGACAGAAAGGAAAGGGAAAGTGAGAAATCACTCCCGAGGGAGATGGCCATGATGCGGTCCCTTCTCTTCCATTTTCTCTTGAGATTGTGCATGCGTGCGCACATATGCCCCCAGCGTGATTTTCAAGCCACCAGGTCTGGGACTGAAACCACAGTCAGCCATGTCACCTGCTGGTCTAGGAATCAGGTTTCTTGGAAAAGAATGTTCCAGGCAGAGAAAATAGCAAGTGCAAATGCCCTGGGGCAGGCAAGGCCCTCGTAGGTTGGAGGAAAAATGGAGAGGCCAGTGTGACTAGAGCAGAGGTCTGAGAGTGGAATAGGAGGAGTTGGGGGTCAAACAGGTAAGTGGCGGCTCTGTTAGCCCAAGCCCCAAGCTCAGGTGTGAGGATTGTGACTTCATGCTGGAGTGGAGAGCCGCTAGAAGGTTTTGAGCAGAGGAAAAATGAAATCTATCATGTGGAAAATGTCACGCTGGCTGCTTTATTGAAAATAGACAATTACGGATGGGGAGGAAGGAGGTGACTGCGACGATCCTGGTGACAGATGAAGGCAGCTTAGACCGGGGAGTAGCAGCGTGGGTTGGTGAGAAGTGGTGGGGTCCTAGGTGCATTTCCCACTACGGCCAACAGGATGTGGGATGTGAGAGAAAGGAGGTGAGCAGGACTCCGAGCTTTCAGAGATCGACGCCAGGGGAGGATGGAGACACCCTTCCCCAGCCTAGGCAACACACAGGTCGGGCAGGTTCGGGGAGCAAATTGGGAGTTTCTTTCTTATTCTAGGTCACTTCTTGCAACACAACAAACTGCTTTTGTCAAACTGTGCCTGCCAATTGAGGGTTTGGAACACATGGTCTTCAAATGGCTGAAATCACGGGGAGTAAAGGTTTGCGTCTACTAGGAAAGGTTAGCTGCAGCCCAGAAATGCTGTTCATTCATTTGTTCATTCATTCATTCACTCAACAGATATGTATTAAACATTAGCCACGTGCCAGGTATGGTGCTAGGCTTTGGGGACATTGCAGTGAACAACACTGCCTTCAGGGAGCACGTGTCTGGAAGTTGGGGGGCAGATAATAGATAATATAGTAAGCAATGAAATGACACAGGCGGTTAGGAGTTGACAAATGCTGTGGAAGGAAGTCCAGGGTGTTGTGTGCTGCAGGGCTAGAAGGGGGCAGGGGGCGGGTGCAGGCAGGCGGGCCATGCTGAAAAGGTGGACTGGGGCTGGGGCTGCAATGAAGGGAGGGACAGCTTTGCAGTGTCCAATCAGAACACCCCTGCTCCCAGGCTCCAGGGAGCAGCAGCTGGAGACGTTAATAGCTCCTCAGGACCACCTTAGCTTCCTCCCCTGTGCAAATAGGAGCCAAGCCAGGATTTGAGCAGCGCAGCCAAGCTATGTGGACAGTTGCCTTGCTGGAATCAGCCAGGTGAACTGACAAGGCCGGTGTAGGCCTGTCTTCCTGGGTGATTATCTGCTTCTTGCCCTGAGGTGTCTGCCCTAATAGACCCAGTGTTTGCAGAGCCGGTTCCCAGCAGGGGGGATGGGGGGAGGGTGGAACGTGTGCTGGTTTGGCCTCAGCCTCACTGGGACACATCAAGCCTAAACAAACCTGTATCCCAAATGGGGGTTTGTCTGTGGGAGAGAGACTGGCTGGAGCGTCCTCAGCTGGAAACAAAAGAACATTAGCAATCAGAAGGCGCAGAGCAGAGCTCCTGCAAGGCGGCAGCTTGCAGCCCTGGGCTTGGTGAAGCTGTTTTCTTGGAGTGAGAGGAAACGCAGGAGTGAGCAAGCAAGTGGCTGGCTTGCTGCCCTGCCCCACCCAGCCCAGGCCTCCTGTAGCAGGGAGGGTCCCAGCCGAGGTGAGGCCAGCCTGCCTAAGGGCCACTCTGGGAGCGTGGGTTGCAGAGCCTGACCCTTGTGCTTGCACAGCTGTGAGCCCAGAGCAGGCAGGGCTGTCCTGGAAATTCCCCAGAGCGGCACAGCCTGAGCAAGGTGACACAGCCATGGTCTTGGTGAAGCCCCAGATGGCGCCTCTGTTCCCCTAGAACCTTCCCCCTGCTGCTTCTCCACTTCTAAAGAGATCAGACACAAGGACAAGCAGCCTTGGCCCCCTTCCAGGAGCTGAGGCCCCAGCCTGACTGGAAACCCCCAGCCCAGCTGCTCCCTGCCAGTGTCAGTGTCTAAGCTCTCAGCGGCTGAGGTGCTCAGCAGGTGTCTGAGTGAGTCACAGGAAGAAGCCAGGTGTGCCGGCTGGGCTGGGGCAGGGAGCTGGGCTGGGGGGCTCAGGCCCCTAGCCCGTGGCCACCCTGCACCTGTGAGACCTAAAGACATGGTGAATCTGTGAATTGCCCTGGCTCCCCACAGAGTTGCATGTGGCCCTCAGTGGGTCCAGGGCCTGGGGCCGGGAGCTGGCCTGCCTCTGCCCTAGCCACGAGTTAGCTCTGGGGCAGCTGGGCAGTCTTTGCCGGGGCTCGGCCAGGGCTACCCAAATCGGGTGCAGGGCTGGGCTGGAAGGAACTGCCAGCTGCCAACAGCTGGGTTTGTGTAGGCCACCTTTCCTCTGAGGGATTCATAGCTGGCTTGTTCAGGGAGGGTAGGCAATTTCTTCAGAAACTAAATGGGTAGGGGTGGGGAGGGAGGACAAACAGATTAAGTGACCTGCCAGCCACGTGCGAGTGTGAACCTTGGGAACTCTCATGCAAACAGACCAACTGAATGTTTCTGAGACAGAGACCCACACGCAGGTGTCGAATGATGATAAGGAGTTCTTGGTCATTTTGTTGGGCTCAAAAATGGTATTAATGATTCTGTTGGGGGCAAAGTCCTTACCCTTTTCTGTTAGAAGCTCTTTATGGGTAAGACGATATCATGTTTGGATTTGCTTTAAAATTCTGTGGAGCGAGAGGCAGAGCGAGGCGGAGGGGAGGCCGTGAGGAAACTGGCAAAGCCGGGTGATGACGGCTGCGGTCCTCCCAGCGACCAACAGGCAGGGCTTAGGGCTCGATCTCTGCTCTCGGCCTTTCAGCACCAGGGAGAGTGGGCCAGGGAGAGTGGGCCAGCAGCTCGAGGGGACAGGCGTTGCTGCCCAGTGGTAAAGGGGCCCTCTCCCCTGCTCTTGGTTCCCTGGGAAGTGGAGTAAACCTTGAGCCTCAGATAATCTTGCTACTAAGAGAGGGTCACCCTGAGCCCTTGGCCTGGGTGTGAGACCTCTTCTGGGAAGAGGATCTGTGAAAGCCACAGCTCCTAAAGTGAGAGGTAGAGCCAGGTCCTGGAAGCCCCAGCTCTGAGCCACTGCCACCTACAGAGGTGTCCGGGCCACAGTCCCCAGAGCACCCCAAGCTCTTAGGTACCGCCCCCCTGCGTGACAGCCTCCCTTTCCCTCCTCAGCTGTCCTTGCTCAGCCGGCTCCTGAGTCTCATGAGGCCATCATCCCTGGGGCAGTACCTGAGCTCTGAGCTCTCACCACCCTGCCAGGAGCAACAGCCCAAGGCCAGTACCGATCTCGACCACAAGGTGAGCACTCGGCACCTGCCGGCCTCCACCAGGACGCCACCACAAGTAGCGGGAAGACAGGGCTGTCCACAGTGCACAGCCTGCGGGGCCTTCCAGCTGCCAGTCCTCCCAGCACCGCAGGGCCTGGCTAGGGCTCGACCAGCAGGCTGCCTCCCCATGTGGAGAGGAGTGGCCATCCCCTGTCCATAGCCTGTAATTAGTGCTGACGCCCAGGCTGCTCATGCAGGAGGGAGATGGGCACAGGCGTGCAGGCTGAACACGGCCTGGCCCAGCCAGTGTGTCCGTGTGTCCACTGCGTCCTCTGCAGCCTGCAGTGGTCTCATGACTGGTTTAGATGGGGCGGAAGTACTGGCATGGGGGGGGGCAAGGGTGGGGGCATGGGCAGTGCCTGGATGGGAAAGGGCAGAGCAGGCTCAGCCTCCCTGTTCTTTTTTTTGTTGGAGAGGTTTTTGCTATAGGGTGCGTACACTCGCCAGCCAGACAGAGACAGAGAGACAGAAAGCGAGAAATCACCCCCAAGGGGGATGGCCACACTGCAATCCCTTCTCCTCCATTCTCCTCTTGAGCACGCACGCACATGCATCTGGCGTAAGTTTAAGCCACCAGGTCCTGGACTTGAACTGCAGTTGACCACATGGGAGTCCAGTGACATAGCCACTCCGCCAACTGTTGGTCCCAGCCTCCCCATTCTTCCACCAGGGTCGCTACTGAGGCTGAGTTATTGGCCTTTCTCCAGTTCTTCCTACTTGACTTCCTAGATGCCGCTCAGCTTTTCTGAAAGCTCAGCTTTGGCAGGAGTCAGTGAGGTAGCCCAGGGCCCGGAGGTCATAGGGTTTGGGAGAGGCCTCTGGACCCCTGGAGGGGATGTCAGGGCAGGGACTGCGGGCGGGTGGGTGTGGGGCTTCTAAGGGGGATGGAGTCTCGGGTCCAGCCCCCTGGAGGGCAGGGGAGTGGACCTCTGAGCTCTCCTACCCCGGGGACTAAGGTATAAGAGGCGGAGATAGGGATCTTCCTCATTTAGGCAGGTAGTGATTCCAAACCTCACTGGAGGCCGGATGTTGACAATCCAAAAGTCTGACCTTTGGGCATCACTCTGCAAATCAGATAAATGAATTAATTACTTAATGAACACAAATGAGCCATTAAGGAGATGCGACTCTCTCCCAGGTGCGCTAGGGTTGGGGAGGGAGCACTTGGGGAGGTTATCTTTCAATCGTGCTAATATTAGCGCATTAGCAGGCTTCTGCCTCCCAGGGGCGGCTTGGTCTGGGGGCCCCTTCTCCTTTGCCAAGTATTTCCCAGGAAACTGAAGCTGGTGCTGGGGCTCTAGGAGGAGGCGGGCTCAGCCCCTGGGCCTGGGTGTCTAGCAAGATGCAGAGAGGCCTGGGTGGGGGTGGGGGGAGAGGGGAATGGTGACAGAAGTAAGAAGCTGTGTCTGGTCTGGCCCAGTGAGGAGAGTCCTACGGCGCTTTGGGGGCCACCTGGTCCCGCCACCCCACCTAGCAGAGTGTGGTTCCCACCGCCCAGAGGCCCCCATTTGGCGGGTGGTAGATGTCCCTTCCTGCCTGGGAAGAAGGGGAATGAGCCGGCCAAGGGAACCTTTCTTTTGAGGACTGTTCTCACACGTCAGTGAGACTTGTAAGATGTCCCGTGGTCACCTGCCCTGTTCCCTGTTGGAAGCGACTTGGAAACCTGGAGTGGCAGGCATCTGGGCAGAGTGCCCCCCAAGGGTAGGGTGTGCCGGTCCAGAGCAGCAGTAGAGCCAGGCGAGGCCCGAGGCAGCCCTGGAGGCCTCCCCTGCATCCTGAGCCCTCCCCAGCCTGCGGGCTTTCCTCCACCCCTTCTTGCAGCAAGTGAGGTAGCCAAGGGCAGGGCAGGGTGAGGGGAGCAGGCAGGAGCTACCGGGTAAGCCCACGGAGAACAGTGGGCTCTGTCCTGTCCCCGGACAGGGTGCTGCTCTGACTGGGAAGGGCCAGGAGGGGCAGGTGCCGGCGGCTCCCACCTCAGCCACTGACTCCGCGTTAGGCCCCAGCACGCTTCATCTTCAAAGACCATCTGGCTACTCACCAGCCAAACGGAGCTGGCTGGCGTCACCCGGCCTGTTTTACGGGGAGTGGTGGTCTGGGCTGCAGCTGAGCCTTTCATCCCCAGAGCTCAGAGTCTTCGCCTTTGAGTGTACTGGGGAAACTGAGGCCAGAGGAAGGTCGGCCTACAGCGACCAGCAAGGAGGAAATGTCTGTGACCCTGTTTCCCAGCCCCTGGGGCTACCCTGCAGAGCAGCCTGTCTGTTGCCACCTGCCCATCCCCCAGCCCTGCTCCCCCTTGTCTGGGAGATTTCCTGCCCTGAACTGCAGGGGCCCAGCCCCCCTCCAGCCCTGCAGACAAACCCTCCTACCAGGCTCCTCTTCCCAGTCTCCCCATCTCTGCTGTCTGCCTTGAGCCTGGGCCCAGGCTCCTCCCTGGGCTGCAAAGTCCCAGGCTTCCTCCCTCCAGCTGGGAGAGCTGCTTCCTGGCGCTCTGGGCACGACACTTTCTCCTCTCTGGTCCCCTGGACTCACTTGTCCGTCTGTCTAGACTGGGCACAGTTGGTGTCTGTCAACACGGCCTCGCGTCTGGCACTAGGTGAATGAATGTGTGAATGAGTGAATGAATCTAATTATTGATAAATCCTCTCTCTCTCAACTCTCTCCTGCCCTTGCTCTGGAAACCTCCCTCCCTCTGCCTGCTGTCTGACCAGCCTCTGTCCTTGTGTTGTTAAGGCCTGGGCTTCTCCTTCTGGCAGCCCTCTGGAGTTCAGAAGTTCCGTGCATGTGTGAGCCGACCAGAGCACACTGGGGGGATCTGCTGGGAAGCCTAACCGAGCGCAGGTGCTTTAACAAAAGAAGCACCCGCTCTGGTACAGAGGGCCTGGGGGTGGGGACCGGTGGAGGGGAGGCAAGGGTGGGCGTGGGCTCCTGCTGGCTGTAGGTCCAGGTTTGGCCAGTCACTTAGATATGGTGGAGCTGGTACGAAATATAAGAGCTTCTGGAGCCAGCAAGTGGCATGGTGGTTAGGGAGCTGGACTTCCACGTGGTTTACTTCAATTCGAGTCTCAGACCTGGTGGCTTGCTTTCTCTCTCTCTCTGTCTCTCTTGGGTGAGCTCATGTGCCCTATGACAAATTTAAATACAGTAATAAATAAATGAGTATTTTAGAAAAAGAGCTTCTGTGGAATATCCGGCTTGCTTCGCGAGGGGATTAGGATACTTTTTGCATTTTAAAGTGCTTTCAGGTGAAGTAAAGCAAGGATTGCTGAGGCCCTGGGTGGCTATAGAAGGCTCTGTGCTGGTCTGGTCTGACCTGGGCTCTCCTAGAGGACAAACAGCTAGTGCACAGTGATGCTGGGGGCTCTGGTACAGCCCAGCAGACATCCAGGTATTTGTTCAACTGCTTCCTGGCAAGCAGACACGAAATAGTGTGCACTCCTACTTCGTAGGTTCAGCGAAGTCTCAAGTCCTGCTCTCGACTCTTTTAGGAAACCTAACCACAACCACACCCTTTAGGAGAGACAGACACACATACTAGAGACAGGATTCCTTATTTATGATCAGGATCAAACAACCAGAAATCCTCTTAAATCGGTGACTGGAAACAGGGCCCGTAAAGATCAAGCCTTCAGAGCAGGTTACCCGCTGTGGATTTCCAGGTCCAGTGCTGTGTGGGTGGGGAGCGGTTTGAAACAATTTTAGGCAATCCACATATCCTGAATAACAATACTTGGAACCAGTGAGAGCCCATGTTTACTATCAGTTCAGTCCATGAGCCACTGTATGCGCCCGTTAAAAACTCTGGCTTAGTCTAGCACTTGGGAGGCTGGAAGCTGCATGGGAGGCCTGGGTTCAGTTCCTGGGCCAACCTGACCATGCACATTGCAGTAGCACAGGCCTGTCATCCTGGCCTATTCGGAGGCTAGGGCAGGAGCACCACACACCAGGACCCTGTCAAAGCTGCTCATCTCAGGACCAGCAGTTGGCATAATGGCTATGTCGCTGGACTCCCATGTAGTTGATCACAGTTTGAGTCTCGGACCTGGTGGCTTAAACTTGAGCATATGTGCGTACGTGCTCAAGATCCCGAGAGGAGGATGGAGGAGAAGGGATTGTGGTGTAACCGTCCCCCCTGGGGTGTGATTTCTAGCTTTCTGTCTCTCTGGCAAGCACTCATGCCCTATAGCAAAAACCTCTCCAAAGGAAAACAACCAAACAAACAAACAAACAAACAAACAAACTGCTCATCTCTGCCTCTTACCCTTCTCCCCTTCTTCTTTCTCTCATAGGGGAGAAAAAGGAACCCAGTTACGACATCATGCTAATGAGCAAATCAAGCTTAGGTTGCTTTTATTTTTTAAGATTTTATTTTACTTACTTTTTATTTTAGTTTTTACTAAAGGGTGTGTGCGCTTGCTAGAGACAGCCCAAGACACAGAACTGCAATCCATTCTCCTGTCAGGATTTTAGACGTGTGCACGCACACGCGCCCAGCGTGTTCTTCAAGCCACCAGGCCCCGACTAACTGTGCAGTAGGTCCTGTGGGATCCAGCCGCCTTCACCTCCATGCCATCTGCTGGCCCCTCCAGCTTAGGTCACACGTCCCCGTCATTGCCTGCCTTGCCCCACACCTGTTGGGACCTGGATGCTGGATGGGTGGGACCCCCTCGCACCCCCGTTTTCCCCCGTAGGGATTTGGAAGCTATGTAGAACCGGGATCTTTACGGTGGGTTGGAAGTTGTCCCCTCGTTGGTTAAATTACGGAACTGAGCAAGTTACAAGTCTTGCTTTCTGTGGAAAGAAAAACTGAAGACCGAGGGGAACAGTAAGGCGGGAAAGTCCTGGAGTTGGGGCGGAATTGAGGCTCCCATCTCCCCACGTGCCTTCTGAGGGTGTCTCCACGGGGTGAGCAACTGAGAGTGCTGTGTTCGTGACGGTCCCGAGGGCTGATGGCAAGCGGCTCTAGTCGCTTGT